GAGAGCAGGGTGCCTCTCTGGCAATGGCCATGTCTTTCAGCCTGTGGATTGGATGGTGTGGTGAGAGTGATTCCTGCTGTGACTTCAGCACCGGCCTCTGCAGGAAGGATGAACATAGGTTGAGGGCTTAGAATGGTCCCTGAGTGGAAGGGATAGATGGCAGCAGGGCGAGTCCTCCCTTCCTCCCCTCCCCAAAGGGCACACTTGGCTGTCCTCCCACAGCCTTGCCAGGCACATCCCCGGGCCTCAGCAGCACACAGAAGCACCCAGTGTCACCTAAGGGCTTGAACCCACCTCTGCCTGTTGCTTACCTGCCACCCTTACCCCATCTCCACTCTCACAGCAGCTCATCTCCTCTGCCTTAAACCTTTACCAGAGTCCTTTCCACAGCACACCCGGTAAAGTGACCCCTCCCTCTGAGACGGCCGTGCTGGGAAGGAGCAGTCCAAGAAGGTGGAACAACAGATACAAGACACTGAAGATTCACGGCAAGAATCTGTGCAAAGGGTTGGAGGGCTGGGGCCGAGGGGAGGGTGAGAGAGTTGGGAGATGGCAGATAACAGGCAAAAGTTCCTGGGGCAGGGGTACTGAGACAGGACTCGGTAGGGGGTGGTGGCTTGGCTGGGCTGGGAGGTGAGCTGCTCAGCACATAGTGGGGTCGATTGCCAGGTGTCCCCAAGCCCTGCGCACAGGCCTCTCATGGCAACCCTTCCTGTGGTTCGGCTTTTCCTGCAATCTGTTGCCCTCTCACCTTGTCACTGAGGAGCAGGGACAGAGAGGCCAGAGTTCGGGGTCCAGGGGAGGAGAGGGGTGCTCACCCAGTAGCAGCAGCAAGAGCAGCAGTGCAGGCCCCAGGCAGTGGACCATGGTGGACCTTGAACAGAGAAGGATGGCTGGCAGAGCCCTCGTCTGATAGGCGCCCCCTTCCTAGTGCCTCTGGAGCAGGAGCACAGTGAAAACGCTGAGGTCTGTGCTGATGCCCCTGGGAGGAGCCTTTGCTTCAACAGCTCGTTAAGTCTCCACCCTCATTAAGTCTCCACCCCAGGCTGCACCTTCAGGTAAGCCTGAGAGCCGCGGGATTCGGCACCTGCATGTGCCTAGATGGACCCCAATGCACTAGCCCCGCCACGCATACCCAGCAACACACAGGCCCCTGGGTGACCTGGTCTCTTCCATGCTAAACTAGGAACACTACGAAACAGCATTGTTCTTTTCCTTTTTTATAGAATTTTATTTTAAACTTAAAAACATTTTTTTTTTTAAATAGAGATGAGGTCTTGCTCTGCCGCCCAGGCTGGTCCTGAACTCCTGGGCTCAAACAATCCTCTCACCTCAGTCTCTCAAAGTGCTAGGATGACAGGTGTGAGCCGTCGTGCCCCACCTATTTTAAACATTTTATTGTTGACTAATTTTAGACTAGCAAAAAAGTTGGAAAATGTAAGCGTTTTCCTTATACCCTTCACACAGCTTTCCCTAACGGTACATCTTATTAATCATGGCCCAGTCATTACAGCTAGGAAACTAACCTTGGTACAATCCTATTAATGAAACTGTAGACCATCTTGCATTTCCCTTTTTTTCACTAATTTCCTTTTTCAGTTCCCAGAGCCCTTCTTTTTTTTTTTTTTTTTGAGACGGAGTTTTGCTCTTGTTACCCAGGCTGGAGTGCAATGGCGCGATCTCGGCTCACCGCAACCTCCGCCTCCTGGGCTCAGGCAATTCTCCTGTCTCGGCCTCCTGAGTAGCTGGGATTACAGGCACGCGCCACCATGCCCAGCTAATTTTTTGTATTTTTAGTAGAGACGGGGTTTCACTATGTTGACCAGGATGGTCTCGATCTCTTGACCTCGTGATCCACCCGCCTCAGCCTCCCAAAGTGATGGGATTACAGGCTTGAGCCACCGCGCCCGGCCTTCCCAGAGCCATTCTAGGATCCCACAGCACAGCCGTCTCTGTCTCCTCAGTCTGGGAGTTCCTTCCTTATCTTCATCCTTGACACTTTTGAATAATTCTGGCCAGTTATTTTGTAAAACGTTTCTCCTGAGTTAGCTGATGTTTTCTTCTGATCAGAATGAGATACAGCCTTGTTTTGACTAACCGAAAAGTTACTCTGTAAGTAAATATTAAGGTTAAAAATCTCATCCAACCTGGGCAACAGAGTAAGGTCCTGTCTCAAAGTCTCAACACTTACATTTAAAAAGTGACCAAAAAAGCCCTACCATGATTTGTCTTGACCAATTTTTTTTTCTTTTTTTTTTTTTTTTTTTTTTTTTTTGTTTTTTGAGACTGAGTCTTGCTCTGTCACCCAGGCTAAAGCTCAATGCAACCTCCACCTCTCAGATTCAAGCGATTCTCCTGCCTCAGCCTCCCGAGTAGCTGGGATTACAGGCACAGGGCACCATGCCTGGCTAGTGTTTGTATTTTTAGTAGAGATGAGGTTTCACCTTGTCGGCCAGGCTCATCTCAAACTCCTGACCTCAGGCGATCTACCCACCCTGGCCTCCCAAAGTGCTAGGATTACAGGTGTGAGCCACCACACGCAGCCTATTGCAACCTGTTTTATCAGCAAGGTCTTTGTGACCTGTATCTTATGCTGACCCCTGTCTCATCCTGTGACTTAGAATGCCTTAACTGTCTGCAAACACAGCCCAGTAGGTCTCAACCGTATTTTACCCAGCCCCTCTGCAAGATGGAATTGCTGTGGTTCACATGCTTCCGACACATCCTCCTGTGTTCTGGCATGTGGGAGGAAAGAGAGATGAGGGAAGGAAACTCAAAACCAAGCTCTGACCACGCAGGGCAGGCACACGCTCCCACCTGTCTTTGGGTGCCACAACTCAAGGGACGGTGAGAGAAGAAGGCATGACAGATGGCCCTGGGTCACAGAGTGTCAGGGCAGCCCAAGCAGCTGTTGTTGGATGGTCAAAGAGAGGGCATCACAGCTGAGCTGGGCTTGCTCACTGCTCCCGGCTGGATGTCCACTCAGCCCCTCAGCATCCCTGCTCAGCCTCAGGGTCCATGACTGCCCTCCTGCGTTCTAGTCACTTCTGTGTCCCTCCTGCTTCTGCTGTTGGCCCCTTGCCAGCTCTGTTCTGCTGAGCTTCTCTTCCGTTCTCCAGCACAGCCAGGTGATCCCCGGCTCCAGACAGGCCTCTCCCCAAGACTGGGGCTCCCCCTCCCACACCCTCTTTCCTTCCTATGTGGCCTTCCCAGGATTCCACACTGAATTGGGAAGGGGTGGAGCAGGTGCTGGGCAGTCTTAGATAATAGCCAGCAGGGCAGAGTTGGCCTCCCCTAGGGTCCCTTTTAGCTGGAGTCCCGCAGGGTCCAGATACCCGCTCCTGAAGGGTAAGAGAGGGAGAGGCATATTAAATGTTTCTTTAGATTCTTTTTTTTTTTTTTTTTTGAGACAGAGTCTTGCTCTTGTCACCCAGGCTGGAGTACAATGGCACAATCTGAGCTCACTGCAACCTCCACATCCCAGGTTCGAGTAATTCTCCTGCCTCACCCTCCTGAGTAGCTGGGATTACAGGTGCCCGCCACCATGCCCAGCTAATTTTTGTATTTTTAGTAGACAGTGTTCCACCATGTTGGCCAGGCTGGTCTCTAACTCCTGACCTCAGGGGATCCTCCCACCGCCTGGCCTTAGATTCTCTATTTTATGATGGTTTAACATCTCAGGGTGGGGGCTTGTTGGTTGGGGAGAAACTCTGATTCCTGGGGATCAGAAACAACTCACGCCTTTCACATGCAAACCAACCGCAAACCAACCAATCTTGACTCCATACACCAACCACCCCTTCAAGGAACTCTCATGTCCCAAGCCAGTGTTTCCCCTGCCCTAAACCAGCCCAGGGCCAGGTACTGACCCAGACAGCTAAAGCCCAACCCCACACCCCAGAGCCCATCAGGATGATTCAAAAGGCCGGTCCTACCCTGTTCCCCGGCCTGCCTCGCCTTTCCAGTGGAGACGTCAATGAAGGCTGTGCCTGTGCCTTCCCCTCGCTCCTGATTCTGTCCCTGGACGAAACCTGGTGCCTCCTGCCCCACTGTGGCCCCGCATGGTGGGAAACTGTAATAACCTCTTTCAGTGGCATCGGCCCCTCTGTGTCATCATTCAGTCACCTTCATAAATTAAAATGTTGCAGCTACAGCTGAGGCAGGAGCGGGGCTTTAGAGAGCACTCTCACCCAGGCCCTTGGGCTTGTGGAGTGGAGCCTGCACTGAGCCTGCCTCCTCGAAATCAGTTTGGGGATGGTTTTGTTATGTGGCAACAGCTGGCTGATACAGGCCACTTGGCAGCTCTTGCATGAAGCAAAGGGAGAATGTGAACGCCCAGGGAAGGCTGGAGTGACAGGGCAAAGAGGGTGTTCAAAGTAGGCAGCACCGTCCTGTGTCCAAACACACGGCTGGGGCCCTGGCTGCCATCTAGGCTTGGCCTGCCAGCCACCACCCCTGTGGTCCTCAGGGCACCTAGTAGGGTTGAATTTACATACAGAAAAAAAAAAAAACAAACTAACTGAGGTCCAAGTGCAACATGTCTTTCTAAATTTTTTTTTTTTTTTTTTTTTTTTTTGGACAGTCTCGCCCTGTTGCCCAGGCTACAGTGCAATGGCCCAATCTCAGCTCCCTGTACCCTCCGCCTCCTGGGTTCAAGCAATTCTCCTGCCTCAACCTTCCAAGTAGCTGGGATTATAGGTGCCTGCCACCACACCCAGCTAATGTTTTATATTTTCAGTAGAAATGGTGTTTCATCATGTTGGCCAGGCTGTTTGTTGGTCATCGTGACCTCAAACTCCTGACCTCATGATCTGCCCTCCTCAGCCTCCCAGAGTGCTGGGATTACAGGTGTATGCCACCTCACCTGGCCTAAAACTTCTTTTTCCTCTGTCACCCAGGCCGGAGTGCAGTGGTGCCACCATAGCTCACTGCAGTGTTGAACTCTTGCACTCAAGTGATCCTCCTGCTTCAGCCTCCTGAGCAGCTAGGCCTACAGGCACACACCACCATGCCCAGATAAGTTTTAAATTTTTCTGTAGATACGGGGTCTTGCTGTGTTGTCTAGACTGGTGTTGACCTCCTGGCCTCTAGTGATCCTCCTACCCCTGCCTCCCAAAGTGCTGGGATTACAGGCATGAGCCACCACGCCTGGCCAACATGTCTTTCTTCTGACTTCTACTTTGGTATCTTTTCTTAAATGGTTCCCTCTGTCCCCTCCCACACACAGAATGGGGGAGAGGCTGTCAGACTCCAGGTTCCTCCAGAACCTCAGCTGCAGCACTGGGATTGGGGCTGAGGAACCATCTAGGGGAGAAGACAGGGTGGGAAGGAACAGGAAGGAAGGTCCCCAGAACTGGGTTTGTTTGCAGGGGCCAAGCTCCAGGGGAGTGTGGACTCAGTGGAACCATAGGGGCCCCGGAGTTCCAGCTTCTGGCCAGCAGTCGTGCCCTCCACAGAGCTGGATCTGTGGAAATTGCATGTAGGAGACACACTAGCCTCACAGGACAGAGGCCTTTTCGGGTGGCCAGCACTACCCAGCCTCCACTGGTGAGGAAGGTCAGGGGCTGTGTGACCTTTGCCTCTGGGACTGATGGATTATTGAGCTGGAGGGTGTGCCCAACAGTGTCCCCTACCCCTCAGGAGCGGGGTCTCCATTGGGCAGCTTCTAATGAGGCTCTAGGGTCCTGGAGTGGGTGGGTTGGAGCTCCAGTGGGAAAGAAACTTCCAAGCTCCTGAAGGTGCCAGAGGTCCGGTGATTCACTGGCTCTGCCCCTGGAGTTCAAGTTCCTGGAGTGGCTGTCAGTGGCCAGCTATCCTTAAATCTGTTCATTTCAGGAGCTACCTCTCACCAGAGGCAGGATCTTGGCATCTGGACTTGATCTGCTGAGGAGGAGGAGGATATGTCGTCCCCTTAGGACTGGGGCTCCAGCCTGCAAGTTGTGTGGCAGGGAGTCCGTCCTCAGTGAGGCTTTTCACAGCTTCTCCCTCCCCAGCCCAGGGGCTTCCAGCATTCTGGTCTCCATGATTACAGCTTCTTCAAGAGGTCATAAACTCATTTCCGTAATAACTCGTGCCCAGAAACTTGATCAGGGGGCATCGAGCTGAGGGATGGGAGAGGTGGGAGAGTGGGCGATGGGAGGGGGAGGCTTTGAAGCCGGGTCCCCGCCTACCTTCAGGTCAGGCGAGGCTGCGGGCCACAGGCTTCTCGGGGTGGCTGCTGGGCTCAGGAGGGTTCTCAGGGCCTGGGAGCAATGGTGGAGGGTGAGTGCTGTGAATATGGTCAGTAGTAGTCCCAGGGGCTGGGATGGGGCAACAAAGGGCTCCAGGTGACTGGGTGCTGCCCATCTGGAAGGAGGCAGGAGGCACCGAGCCCTTCCCTTCTCCTCCCCTCCTCTGCCCTTCCTTCCCTCCCCTTCTCTCTCTGCCTCTCCCTAGTGCCTCACTCACCTAGGGGCCAGGGCTGTCCAGTGGCTGTGGGGCCCAACTCCATGGGGTGAATGCTGCCCAGCGGGTGGTCCCTGTGTGGGCCATCCTTGGGCCTGAGCAGTGGGATAAGAGTCCAGGAGGTTGGTACATTGACCCTGAGTGGGTTATTGCCTCCCCACAGCATGGTGTCCAGCCCGGGGAGTTCTGCATTTACTGAGTTTCTTGGGGCACCCGTCTGCTCCAAGTCACCCTCTCAGCTCCCTTCCAGCTCCCTCTTCAGGGGATCCCTGGGACCCAGGCTCCACTTGAGCCTCATGCCTCGCAGGACAGCTGGCACCTCGTCTCTTCAGTCCTAACATTTCCTCCAGGCTCTGGCACCACCCAGCAGCCTGGCACTTTCCAAATGTTGGCACCACTCAGCTTCCAAAGAAACCTGGATGTCCCCCACTGCAGCAGCTGTGTCTGCTCACCTTGCTGCTGAGTACCCTGCTGCCCTTGATGATTACAAGCCATCTTTGACTGTCCCCATCCCATCTCCCAGGACCTTTCCACTTCCTATGATGTTCCTTCAAAGCATTCTCTCCTACCCTGGGGATGAGAAGTAGCCTCCGCCCTCTGCAGTGTCCCCTCCATGCTGACATGCCAGGCTCTGGCCACCTCCTCTGCCCACAGACCCTCAATCACTACTCACAGTGTCAGGGTCCTCTTAGCTGCCACCCGGGGCCCAGGTAGTACCCTGCCCCTGTCTGTTATGCCCTCTGCCCCCATCTCCCTCGGATTACCCAGAGCCCTCCCAAGACCTGGCTATGACAGACATGGCCACAGAGTGCCTGGACAGCCATGCTTAGTATTATGTGACTCTCCCCCTGCAGGTCACAGAGAACTGGGTTAGGGCAGGGCCCTGGCATAGAAGACAGCCAGCGCCATAGCTGGCCAGTGGTATGGAGTGAAAAGATCTGCTGGGCCCAGCATTTGGGAACTTGAAGGGGATGACAGAGGTGATTTGGACAGAGGAAGTGGCAAAGGGCTGAAAACTCCTGAGACAGAGGCTGGAGAGGCCTCTAGGGGCAGCATGGTGCAGGGGCTGCAATCTGAGCTGAGCGGGGAAATCAGGGCGAAGTCAAGGGTGAGGTAGCCACCTGGTGGGAGCAGGACAAAGGACGAGAAAGGCTGTAATGGGAGGTGGGGGCCACGCCTGGCAGTGCTGATGGGAGCTGGGATCCACCCCCTGGCTTGCCTGGGAGGCCACTGGAACCTCCTGTTCAAAGCTACTTCTTTCCACGGCCTCTGGGGCTGCTCTCTGCACCTGTGGGTAAGGCTGGGGGCTGCCCCAGCTCCCGCAGCCCCAACAGAGCTCTGAGGAGGGGAACCCTGGAGTGGGCTCAGGACGCAGGTGCTTGGAGCCTACCCACTGCACGCAGGGTCCCTCCTGCAGCCCCAGCTGCATCGCTGCAGATTGGCTCTTGGGAGCCGGTAGTAACACCAGGCCAGGCCGGCCCCTGGGAGCAGAGGCAGCAGGGCGCTGAGGAGCATGGCCAACAGGAAGGTGTCACGGCCTGCAGGGAAAAGAGTAGTGGGGAGGCTGAGTCCTGAGTGGGTGCAGCCCCCCTGCTCCTGCCCACCTGCCCCCCACTGGCATACTTTCAGGCTGCACAGGGCCACTGTCCACGCTGCCACCGAAGCCTGGCTTGTCACAGAAGGGTGGAGCCCAGCCTGGAGCACAGTGGCAGTTATGGTTGCTATTGCAAACCTGCAGAAAGGGGAGAGAAGGGAAAGAGGGTCACATGAGATTAGGAACCCCAAGGTCATCACTTCCTGTGATGTTCCTTCAAAGCATTCTCTCCTAACCTGGGGGTGAGAAGTAGCCTCCGCCCTCTGCAGTGTCCCCTCCATGCTGACATGCCAGGCTCTGGCCACCTCCTCTGCCCATAGACCCTGAGTTTCTTGGGGCACCCGTCTGCTCCAAGCCCCCCTTGGGCTCTCACCCCGCGTCTGTGGCAGGCAGTCAGGCAGCGCTGCAGCTCCTGGAAGGCAGTGTTCTCGCAGCGCCCGCTCTGGCACACCTACGGGCAGTGCATTAGGCAGTGAGGGGGACACTGCCTGTGGGAGTCAAGTGGCAAGGAGGGGTCGGGTGGGCAAAGCTCACCATTCTAGGTCCACACTGGGTGCCTGACTCTACCAGGCCCAGGCCAAGCAGGTCCAACTTGGCACCAGGGAGTGCTGAGGCTCCCCGACAGGTCACTTCGTGGCCATCTAGGTGAACGGTGGAGTTCACTGGCACCATGTGTGATGTGAGTGGGCTGGGCTTTCCGCCCTGGCACTGCAGCTTCCCACACAGGGCATCCCTGGGGAGGAAGTAGAGGGGGGTCAACAGTGGCAGTACCCCCTTTCCCAAGCCCACTCCATATCTTCTGCTCCCTCCACTCAGCTCCACTCCTTACCTCTCAGCACAGGGCAGGAAATGGCCCTCGCTGTCCTGGCCACAGTTCCCATGGATATCTCCCACAGAGTTCACAACCTGGAAACAGGCCTCGGGGGCTGGATGGGAGCCTGAGGAAGCATGGGCTAGGCTGGATGCAGCCGGGAGAGGTGCCACACTCAGCGGGCCTCAGGTTCCCCTGCCTATCTTCCCCACAGCAGAAAACTGGGCCCACCAGAGGATTGGGGGTAGGGTGTAAGGGTGCCAGTGTCCTCTCACCAGGCCCCCAGAGCTGCTGGCACTGCCGCTCCAGCGTGGGACATGCGCCATCCCAGCAGTAGCCACTGCCCCCGGCGCAGGGCGAGCCATCCAGTAAGTAAATGTCCGGGGGACAGTGCGGGGAGGTACCGGTGCAGAACTCAGGGAGGTCACAGTCGCCCATGGCTTGGCGGCACGGTGCTCCAGCCGGCTTCAGCTGCGCAGGTGATGGGTGGTGGGGGGGGCAGAGAGAGGCCATGGGCAATGAGAGGTCCATGCCCAGAGCCTGCTTGGAGCTGGAGGAGCTGGGCGAGGGCCAGGCCGACCCACGCCAGCACCCAACGGGGGAACCTGAGGGCACCAATTAGCTAAGGCCAATAGGCCGGTTCCTAAGCGCCCCAAAACCCTCACCCTGAACCTTCCATGCCCTCACCAGGCAGTGGGCGCAGCAGTCCCCATGGGCACATTGGGCCCCCGCGCGCAGCGAGCAATTGTGAGCGAAGCAGCAGAGGTCACGGCATTCCTGGGACCAGAAAAGCAAGGGGGGACCAAGTGAGGGCGCAGCGCCCCAGACCTGGGCAGAGAAGCCGATTCGGGGGCGGGCGAGCCGACTTAACCTGATCAGAGCCGCAGTCACACTCCTCGCCGGCCTCCACGAAACCGTTCCCGCAGCGTGCTGGTGGCACCGGGAGCCCGGAGTCTGGGGCATTGGAGAGGCACACGCCGCCCCCTTTGCGGAAGAAGGCGCGCAGCTGGCGGCGGCTGCAGGCGCTGAACACGCGTGGGAACGGGTGCCTACCGGCGTGGGGAGGGCGTTGGGCGTGGAGGAACAGCCCCACAACCTCCGCGCTTCTCCGATCCCCACCCTTGGGCTTGGCTACAGGCGCCAGATGCGCAGACACGCCTGAGCGATGGGAGGCTCAAATCCTCTAGAGGCAGAGCCCAGAGAGGGGAAGTGACCCCCGGACGGGGGACGGTGTGGCCCCAAGAGTGGGCAGCCCGGGACCCAGGGCGGAATCGCGACCCAGCGTTGCTCCTCCCGGCGTGGGAGTAGCCTCGCCAGGCTACTCGGAAAACAATCTTCATACCGTTGAGAATCCACTTTGCCTGCGCGTCTTCCCTTTAAGCCTCATAAACCACCCTGAAGCGGACGCTATGATCAGCATCCCATTTTACAAAAGAGGAAACTGAGGGACGACCAAAGAAACGCGGCGGAGGGAGCCCCCAGGACTAGCAGCCTCGCCGCAGCCCGGACCCCCCACGCACGTACCCGGTGGCCGCGGCCATGACGCAGCCTCCGGGCTCGGCCGCTGCCTCCACGCAGCAGCCGTCGGGGTCGTGGCTGAGGCCGAGGCTGTGGCCGATCTCATGGGCCATGGTGGCTGCGGTGCCAATGGGGAGCTCCGAGTGGTCCTAGGGGTCCGTGCAGTGGGGCGGTTAGTGCCGGCTGCAGGGCCTCCCTTCCCGCCCCTCGCCCCCCTCTGCAGGGCTCACCATGCTCACGCCTCCCGAGCTCTCTGCGCGGCACATGCCCTCGACGGGCGCCAGGCCCACTGTGGAGCCCTGGAAGGCGCGGCCCCTGGGGATGGAGCGCGGCGTGACCGGGGCGGGGCCGGGAGGCGAGGGCGCCCCTCCTGGGACCCGCGTTGGGCTCAGAGGCACCCACGTGAGCAGCTGTGCGGAGTCGTGGGGCCGCTGCGCCCACAGGCCCCGGCGCCACTGCAGAAAGGCCCAGAGCGTGGCGTTGGCGTCCTGCGTGACGCGGCTGCGGTCCCGCTCGGTCCACACTTCCAAGCCAATCAGCACCACCTGAATGTCCAGAGTCCTGAGAAGCTGAGGGCGGGGCGGGGTACGGCGGGCTGAAGCCGGGACCAGGCGGCCCACCGCGCCACTGCTCCTCCGTGGGGGCGCCCCTCCTAGTCCCCGCACCCCACTAGCACCTGCTGGTCCTGCCGCCGCCAGCCCCATCACTGCTCTCTCCCTACTGCCCCCAACCTGGTCCACGTAGTTGGTGACTTCTAGGAGCCGCTGTTTGGTGTGGTTCAGGTTCCGGTGCTGGGTCACGAACTGGGAAGGCAGAAATCCCGGTGGCTTGAGGGGCTGAGCTGACCCCATCCCAGACTCCGTCAACCCCTGGGGTCTCCCCTCACCAGGCTGTGGTCTGCCACTATGTACAGTTCCAGGTACCTCGGGGTCCTGCTTGCTTCTCGCCTGTCCTGTGGAGGGGCGAATGGGGACCCTGAATGGAAGCTGCTGGGCTTGAGCCCTGACCACCAACCCCAGCTCCCAGAAAGAACAGTTTATCATGTGTCCTAGAAGATGTTTCCTCAGACTCCAATAAAAATACTGGGACATGCTGGGTACAGAGGCTCACATCTGTAATCCCAGTACTTTGGGAGGCTGAGGCGGTCAGATCACCTGAGGTCAGGAGTTCGAGACCACCGTGACCAACATGAAGAAACTCTTCTACTAAAAATACAAAAAATTAGCCAGGCATGGTGGAGCATGCCTCTAATCCCAGCTACTCTAGCAGGAGAATCGCTTAAACCCAGCAGGCAGAGGTTATGGTGAGCTGAGATCGGGCCATTGCACTCCAGCCTGGGCAACAAAAGTAAAACTCTGTCTCAAAAACAAAACAAAACAACAACAACAACAACAAAAAACGGACATGAGGCCCTGGCTTGAGGCCTGTGAATTCCTGTCTCTTCTGATTTGGAGGACTATGGCTGTATCCACAGCTCTCCAAATCAAATTCCCACTCCCATCCCCTCCACGCCCTGACCCTGCTCTGGGGAGCACCAGGAAGGCTGGCCATGCCGGCTTTGTCCCCGGGATCCCTGTGGCCACAGGCTCCTTTCCAGGTGAGCAGCTGCTCCATCCGGAAGATCCTGTGGGTTGAGAAGTCCTTGGAGCTCTGAGGCGGCCAGGGATGCAGATAATAGCTGGCATTGCTGCTGAGGGTGATCAGGCCACTAGGGTGCAGAGGGGTAGGAGCGGGTGTGAGGGAGCTCTTTCCCCATCCCAGGCCCGCCCCCCTCTCCGGAACTCACCTCATCCCAGAGCATGTGCAGAGGACTACCCAGGAGTCGGGGAAGCCCCTCACTCGCCCTTGGTAGTGGCAATGATCCTAGGGAGAAAGGAACCAGCCCCAAATCTCAGCCAGGGCTGGAGCAAGAGGGGCAAGAGGGAGGGCAGGGTGGGGGCTGGCTCCAATCTCCCCTTAGGAGTGCAAGGAGGAGCAGGGCAGGAATGGTGGGGGGTGCCTCTGGGGTGCATCACAGAGCCCATGGAAGCATCTCACCGTGTGGTTGGGGGCCAGCACCACTGGCTGCCCATCTGGGCGGTAGTGGGTTTCTGTGTATCCTGGGGCCAGCAGCCTGCTGGGAGGGAGTATTACAGGGAGCATTGAATTCGGCCTCCTCCTGCCTCCTCCAGGATGTCTCCCAGCCTTCCTCCCTAAATGCTAATGGAGCAGCTTTATGAGTGAGGCACTCAGTGTGTCTTAGGAAGTGACAGGAGCAGTAGTGGCTTGCTCAGGTCAGGAACACTTGAGGCTAGAGGTAGGAGCCTTGGTGATGGCTTAGCTGTGGGAGCTGCGAGTATGGGAAGTGCCAGGGAGGACACCGGGAGGAGCAGGAATAGAGGAAGAGTTTGTTGTCCCCAGGGGACCTGCAGCAGGCAGCTGGGGAGGAGTCAGGAGACACTGCCAAGGAATGGGACTTGGAGTCAGGGAAACACGGCGAACTCCCCAGGTTCCCCTGCCTGCTGCCCTCCTTTGTCAACCCTCTCGCCCCAACTTGCCCTGGATCCTTGAAATATTTTCCTCAGACTTTTTTTCTTTCTTTCTTTTTTTTTAAGATGGGGTTTCACCATGATGGCCAAGCTGGTCTTGAACTCCTGACCTCAGGTGATCCACCCACTTTGGCCTCCCAAAGTGCTAGGATTACAGGCGTGAGCCACCGTGCCCGGCCGCTTCCTCAGACTTCTATACCCTACAAGCCTCCCGCCTGTCCTTCAGTGATTGATGCACACCCCCTGCCTCCAGAGAAAACAGAATCTCCAACTGCCCACACCTGCTCCTGCCCTCCCCACCTTCTCCAGACCCCACTCGGGTAATGATTCCATTTTCAGGCTTCATCTCAACAGGATCCTTCCTGTGTGGATGGATCAATCATAAGTCAGTCTCTCTTCTTTAAAGAAAATCCTGCCGGGCACGGTGGCTCAAGCCTGTAATCCCAGCACTTTGGGAGGCCGAGGCGGGTGGATCACGAGGTCGAGAGATCGAGACCATCCTGGTCAACATGGTGAAACCCCGTCTCTACTAAAAATACAAAAAATTAGCTGGGCATGTTGGCGCGTGCCTGTAATCCCAGCTACTCAGGAGGCTGAGGCAGGAGAATTGCTTGAACCCAGGAGGCAGAGGTTGCAGTGAGCCGAGATCGCGCCATTGCACTCCAGCCTGGGTAACAAGAGCGAAACTCCGTCTCAAAAAAGAAAATCCTTTACCCCAACCTCACCTTAGCCTCATCATCTCCAGACCACCCCCAAATGATGGCTGCTTCCACCTTCTAGGAATTCTCCCACCTGCCCCAGCTCTGCTCCCCACCCCTCCCCACACACTTGCCACCCTAGGAGGTAGGTGATGTGACTACCCCATTGAAAGGGTAGGGACGTTGGCCCCAGAGAAAATATAGTTGGGCACAGTGGAACTAGAGTTTGTTCCCGGTCCATCCGAGTCCACGAGGGAGAATAAAATACATGTTGAGTGCTCAGAATAGCGCCTGAGGTCAAACAAACACTCAGTAGGTGATATCTATTGATAACACAGCCTGGATGGTTTCAAGAGCCTAGCTCCAGCTCGGACACCCACTCCACCCAGCTGAGGCACCATCCTGAGCACAGCCCTGACTGTTCCTTCCCCGCTCAAAATCTTTGGCTCCGGACACTGAGCACTAAAATGGCCTTCTGTCCTTCCTGGGGCTTCCCAAATTCATTCCCCCTGCTCCCCTCCCTGCAGGTGGAGACCTTCCAGGCAGGTCAGACAAACTGCTGCCCCTAAGTGCAGCCACTGCAGCTTTTTCTTTTTTATTTTTATTTTTGACATGGAGGCTCAGGCCAGAGTGGTGCAATGGCGGGATCTCGACTCACCACAACCTCCGCCTCCCGGATTCAAGTGATTCTCCTGTCTCAGCCCCCTGAGTAGCTGGGATTACAGGTGTGCGCCACCATGCCGGGCTAATTTTTTGTATTTTTAGTAGAGATGGGTTTTCACCATGTTGGCCAGGATGGTCTCAAACACCTGACCTCAGGTGGTCCACCTGCCTCGCCTTCCTAAAGCCACTGCCTCTTTGTCCCTGCTGTTCCCTTGGCCTGGAGTGCCCACTCCTCTTTGAGACCCATCTACGATTTTCTTTTGATTCAGCATATCTTGCAAATGTCCACTAGGTGGTGCTCATTCATCTCCAGCAGGGAGACGACAAGCCGTTCCTGGGGTTGAGAGCACACAGAGAGGCTGACAGCCTCCACAGTCCTCTTCAGCCTCCAGGGGGCCAGCCACAGGCCTGCATGACTCTCCCTGTCACCTGCACCCTCTCTGAGGGTGCCCATCCAGCCACCCGCAAGGATCCACATCAGTCCCGGCTCTCTGTACTGAGCCCCTCCAGTGGGTCTGTTCTCAGCTCCCAGCCCTGCCCCAGCCTGGCACTCACTGGTTCTTCTCCAGCTCAAGCAGGAGCTCCTGGCCTTCAGCCTCCAGGGCCACAAGTCCCACGTCTGGCCTCCATACCTGGGCAAGAAGGACACGGGGCTGAGATGTTGGCCTCCAGGCCTTCTGCCTGCCAGGGAGCAGGTGGCCTGCGGAACTGGCTGGGGAGGAAGTTCATGGGGAGAATGTGGGCTGTCGGGGGAGCAGGACCCCCTACATACTATGGAGGGTGGGGAGGAGGTGAGAACATACAAAGATGTTCCCACGCTCAGGATGTTTTCTGTCCCCTTGGAAGGGCATGAGCACAGCCTGCCAGGCGCACGGACATCCTCCTTAGAGATCAGAGGCCCCAGAAAGTTGCCCTTCCCCTGGCCCACCCTCTTCTTTCATACTTAGAAGGGGCATCAAAAGCAGGGGAAGACAGAGGGGTGCTGAGGACATTGCGGGGGCATCGGGCAGCGTGGCCGGACCTCCTCTCAGTCTCTGCCACCTGAGGCTTGCTTCCGGATCGTGCTGCTGCTCATTCCCTGTAGAATTCAAACTTTACTCCTCCACTTCCAATATTGGCAAACTGCCCCTCTTCCAAAGTTTTCCTGGGCCTCCAGCAGCCCCTGTCCCTGCCGCCCCGACACCTGCTTCACTGGACCCATGAAGTAAATATGGACCCCGTTCCAGCCAAAGAGCACGTCGGCCCTCAGCTAGGTGTCAGGAGGCTGGCTTGGTCTGCCAACTCGCTCTCCCTCCCGCACCCTCTTGGCCTCTCCCACCCTGTGGGAACACCCACTTCCCCCTTGTCCACTCGGCCTGGCTGGGGGCCCAGGAGCTTCCTTGGAGGCTGCTGTGCTTTGGAACGTTTGACCTCTGACTCCTTTTCTCAAAACATGCACTGGGCTTGTCTACAGCCATACCACCCTGGACATGCCTGATCTCGTCTGATCTTGAAAAAATGCACTGGGCTGGGGCCCTGTCCAGGGTCTCCGAGTCTTTGGGGGACGTCCTTCCTTTGCAGGTGGGGAGCAGACTGCCCTGGCCCCCCGGGCCACAGGCCCCACAGGGCCTCCAACATGAGCTCATGTGGCTGGAATGCCACTTGCTTTACTAGGGAAAGATCTGCACTGGGAGAAGGGCGGTGGCCCAGATGGAAGGACATACTTGAGGCCCCGTCCCTCGGCAGCCCCTGCTTTCTTTACCCTTGCCCTCCTGGTACCCTGCCCCTCGATGTATACCCCCCATCTTGAAATGGGAGTGTTTTCTGGCTGTGGGAGGAGATACTCAGCCTCTACTCTGTCTCCTGTCCCATCTTGGCAGGCTTCCTGGGGGAAAGGGCCCACGGTCGGGGGAAGACAGGGCCCCTTTGGGGTTCCCCTCTTGGTCACAGCCCAGGCTGGACAAGGAAGGAGGCCCAGAGGAAGAATGACCCAGTGTGCCCAGGCTTCCCCTCCCAGGGATGGGGAGGACAGTCTCAAAGCTCAAGCCAGTGCCTTGCTTGGCCAGTGGAATGGGGGCCTGTGGGCCTAGGGGATCCCAGTGAGGGCCCTAGGGTGGGAGCTGCTGGGTCTCTGGGGGCCTCCTAGCCTTCCGTCTTCCTCTTGCTGGGTTTGGACAGTAAGGCTGGAAGCTCCACAGAGGGCTGTCTAGGATGGGCAGGGGGTTAGCCAATGGTTTCAGATCTTTTAGAGCTTAGTGGGTCTCAGGCTCCCAGCCTGAAGAGCTGTGACCCTGGGCAATTTCCCCAGCCTCTCAGCTTCCATTTACCCCTCTGTAAAACAGGCACAGCAAGGCTACTGGCCTCTTAGTTTGCAGCACAGCTACTATGGCACAAACACGAGGCGCAATTATTCTGGAAGCGTGTAAAGGGCGAGATTGGGAGGAGGCTGGGACAGAGGTCCTGCAGAAGCACATGGGGTGGTCTTACGTCTGGGGGGACCAGGAGAGTGACCACTGCCCCCTGCCAGAAGTGGATTCCACAGGAGCCAGTGAGGCTGGAGGTTCAGGCCTTCAGTAGCAGGGCCCTGAGAGGGACAGCAGTGTGTCCACAGGGTCATATGTTCTGGTCAACTTTGCAAAAGGTTTTCTTTTTGGTGTTTTTTCTTTCTTTCTTTTTTTTTTTTTTTTTTTTTTTTTTGGCTCCTGAAAAGCTTCAGGCCCCACAAACCCTGAATCCATTTCTTCCTGGTGGGGGTGGGGTGAGCTGGATCACCCAGGGAGGGCGGGGAAGGGGAGGTGGGGCCGAAGAAGCTGAAATGACTTCCATGTGTGCGGGCTCACGAGATCTAGATACCAAACCCTGAGGCCCTCTTCTGCCCACTCCTTTAGGGGGTAGGGGCCTAAAGGAGTAGTGACTCGGTGGTTCTGGGAACCCCAGCAAAACTGCCAAGCTGTAATGTGAGGAGGGATAAAAGGGCTGGGAGGCTCAGGGCCCCTGCTGAGGATAGATAGGGTGACATAGCACTGACCGGCTCCTCCAGGCTGGCGCTGTGCCAGGGTCGTCCATCCCGGACCCAGCTGGCGGTGACTGGCTGCCCAAGGGTAGGTCCTGGAGTGAAGACAGAGCACAGGGTGAGGGCACAGCAGAGGAAGAGGGTTAGAGGACACCCCCAGGGAGGCACAGGAGGCCTTTCGGAGCAGACTCCATCTTCAACACTCGTGGGCTCGGCCTGGAGAAGGAGGGACACCCGTGGGCATCCTTGGATCTGAGGAGCTACCAAGCAGGAGGAAAAAAGAAGGCTGGGGAAGGGACAGCTCAGCTGGGGACACCGGAGTCCCCTGACTGTTGGGAGGGGCAGGCTTGGAGTTGTGGATCACAAGGGAGAGGCCAAGGCTACCAGTGCAGAGGCCAAGGGAAGAGGGAGGCAGCGCGGGTATTTTTAGATGGGCAGCAGATGCTTTTAGGGTGAGAGCTCTATGAAGGGAGGATGCCTGTGTCTCCCACCATCCGAGAAAAACAGCCAGATGTTGCCTTGGGAGGTCCACCTTGCCCGGAGCTCCCTGGGGGACTCCCTCCTGGTGGCAGGGGTGTGGTACTCTGGCCCAGAAGGCCACTCCTCATCTCTTCAAGGTGAGGGGAGGCTTCCAGACACAGCCTCACTGCTCTCAGGCCGGGTGTGTGTAAGGGGGGGCTAGGAGGAATCCCAGAGCCAAACATTACTCAGAGGGCGCCTGGAATGCTCCCCTGGAATGCTCCCAGCCCCCCACTAGCCCCAACCACTCTCACAGGACCGCTCTGCAGGAGCCAGGCCCCAGGCACCCAGAGCGTGCAGCAGCCCTCCTTCCCCCGGTACCCGGTCCCAGCTCCCAGCACAGACGGCCCCCACCCCCACGCAGCCCTGGTCTCAGTCCTGCCCGGCTGATGGCTGCCTGTGGAAGTGACTCAGTTCCTGCTAGGCCAACCCAACTCCTTTTTTCTCCTCCATCTTGTCTCCCAGACTCTAAGCATCAAAGACCCCTCCTCCAAGAAGCCCTCGTTGATTGGATGAGTGAGTTACCATCAGGCAGATGGAGGCCGAGAGGAGCCCACCACCTTGGAAAGGAGGCTTAGGGGGACCAGTGCAGGGAGGGGTCTGAGCAGATCTGGGGGAGGGGAAGAAGGGGTGGTCCCTCAGCCCAGAGAGCACTTGTCTGAGAGTAGAGAACCAAGCTTTGCTGGTCCTAGGCCTCTAAGGGTTTGGGAAGGAGGTAGGGTGGGCCGAGGCACAGTTGTGGTGCGGGTGCTCTCCCCATAGCCTTGCACGCACATGGTGGCCAGTGGCACCTGACCCGGATGAGGGAGAGGGAGGCAGAGCTGGAGATCCGGTGACCAGGTGGATGGGAGTGGAGGCCAAGAGAGCCAGGTTGGTATTCGGCACTTAGAGCCCCCTTCTCCGAGGGGTCCCCTGGCCTCCCCTGGCCCCAGGCTAGGGCTCAGAGCGGAGGGAGCAGTGGACCGCCTAGGACCTTCTCCTGGGGCCAGAATAGAGCGGGCCCTTGTGCTCGTTTGGTCTGCGCACAGCGCTGTAGAAGGCACCACCCAGGCTGCACCGCCTGGCCCTGCCCTGCGCGCCTCCTCCACGGTTGCCCTCCCTGTCCCCGGCCGGGCACTTGCTGTGCAGGACTGGCTAATCCTCCCATCTGTTTGCAGAGGCTGTTACCAGCCCCATCTTAACAACTCTGTTTGGAGGGGTTGCCCCGAGGAGACAGCGCTGCAGTCCTCCCAGGGAAGGCTAAACAGGGACCTCCGGTCTGCAGAGGCCCTTCTCTATCTCACCAAACAAGGCAACACTATAAACAACACACACGCCGCCCTGCGAGGAGGGACGGGGGTGAGCAGGGCGCAGGCCACAGCTAGTTCTGCAGCCTGAGAGCAAAGCAGGGACTCTGGGGGACTCTTGGGCACAGGGGCTTCCTGGAGGATGGAGCCCCGCTGAGTCCTAAGGGGTGGAGGTGCAGGAGCGGGTCACAAGGTGGGGGCTGGGAGGTTGTGGGAGCTAGAATCCAGGCAGAGGGTGCTGCGGGCTGGAAGCTGGGCTGCCCCCCAGCGGGAGGGGCCATGCCCTCTGCTTTGCCGGCAGAGTGGCAGCCGGGCAGTGTGGGCAAGTCCGGGCCCCAGACCACCCCAAGCACACTTGAGCGTCCCTGGGCAGGTTCCACGGAGACCACCCCCCAAACCATCCCCACGCCCTGACCTCCTGTCCCTACGGTCCCGGTCCCGGGGCTGTGAGACCCTCCAGGCGCTGACCCCGGCTCTGAGCAGAACCCACCCCCGCCCTCACCACCTTGCCTCTCTTGCCCCGCAGGGCGCACCCCGCCCGCGTCCGCACCTGGAAGCACCCCAGTGCCCGGCGCCGGCCAGAGCAGCAGCAGCAGCAGCAGCAGCATCGGGAACCCCCGAGCTCTCCGGAGCCTCCAGCCCAGAGCTGTGAGCGCCTCGGCCTCTAGGCTGCAGCTCGCAGCTGCCGGCTCCGCCCGGGCTGGATTGCGGCCGACCCACGCCCGGTGCAGCCCAGGACCGGCCTTCGGACCTTCCCGCCTCCCGCCCCCGCTCCCTACCACCCCTCCCCGCCAGCCCCGCGCGGAGCCTGGCCTAGGGCCCCGACGGAGTGCGCCCTGGAGCAGGCGGGACGCCTCTCCCCGGCCGCCTCCCGTCAAGGGGTGGAGCTGGGCGGAGAGGGGAATCCGTGCGGCCCGTCGGGTGACCCTCCCCAGGCGTCCCGCCCGTCGGTCTCAGAGGGCCTCTACTCCTGGAGGCAGAGTGGAGACGGAGCGGAACCGCTGGGAAGGTTCCTTGAGGACCGCGGCTTGCCGCGGTGGGGCGGAGGGCAAAGGCCGCCTGTTGCTGCCGAATTCTGCGCTGGGAGCGCGCTCTTCCGTGGTCTCCTGGGGCCAACCTCGTCCTGCCCAGAGGCTCCCTGAGAACCTGGAGGAGGTTGAGTCGGGTCATCCACCTGCGCCGGGTGCCCCTAGGGGTAGGAAGGTCCAGGCCACTACCGGCTGCTGCTGTCAGGGTTGCTGTCTCTGAGCCACCGCGGCCGCCAGCCGCTGGCCCCAGGCCTGCGAAGAGGAGGGAGCCAGTGAAGACGGAGGTCTTGAGGTCTTCATTGCTGGGCAAAGGGGATGCAGCTGACAGAGACAATCCTTTGTCCCTGGCGATGGCCAGAGGACAAAATTGTATAAAGCTATAGACTGCCAGACCTGGGAGACCCTTTTGGCCTCAGTAATAACTGTTTCATGTTTTAAAGGTTTGTTTTTCTACTCGGTGCAAATTTGTTTTTCATTATACTTTAAGTTCTGGGGTCCCTGTGCAGATCGTGCAGGTTTGTTACATAGGTAGACACGTGCCATGGTGGTGGTTTGCAGCATCCATCGCCCCATCACCTACATTAGGTATTTCTCCTAATGCTATCCCCCCCCAATCCCCCCAGCCCCTGCTATTCCTTCCCTAGCCCCCCACCCCTCAGGCCCTGGTACCTGATGTTCCCTTCTCTGTCCTGTGCTCTCATTGTTCAATACCCACTTATGAGTGAGAACACGCGGTGTTTGGTTTTCTGTCCTTGTGTCAGTTTGCTGAGAATGATGGTTTCCAGTTTTAACAGTCCCTGCAAAGGACATGAACTCATCGTTTTTTATGGCTGCATAGTATTCCATGGTGTATATGTGCCACATTTTCTTTATCCAATCTGTCATTGATATGCATTTAGGTTGGTTACAAGTCTTTGCTACTGTGAACAGTGTTACATAAACATACGTGTGCATGTGTCTTTATGATATAATGATTTATAATCCTATGGGTAAATACTCAGTAATGAGATTGTTGGGCCAAATGGTATTTTTATTTCTAGATCCTTGAGAAATTGCCACACTGTCTTCTACAGTAGTTGAACTAATTTACACTCCCACCAACAGTGTAAAAGTGTTCCTATTTCTCCACATCTTCTCCAGCATCTGTTGTCTCCTGATTTTTTAATGATCTCCATTCTAACTGGTGTGAGGTGGTATCTTAATGTGGGCTTGATTTTCATTTCTGTGATGACCAGTGATGATGAGCTTTTTTTCATGTTTGTTGGCTGCATGAATGTCTTCTTTTGAAAAGTGTCTGTTCATATTCTTTGCCCACTTTGTGATGGGGTTGTTTTTTTCGTGTAAATTTGTTTTAAGTTCTCTGTAGATTCTGGATAGTAGCCCTTTGTCAGATGGGCGGATCGCAAAATTTTTTTCCCATTCCATTGGTTGCTGGTTCACTCTACTGAGTTTCTTTTGCTGTGTGGAAGCTCTTACGTTTAATTAGATCCCATTTGTCAATTTTGGCTTCTGTTGCTGTTGTTTTTGGTGTTTTAGTCATGAAGTCTTTGCCCATGCCTATGTCCTGAATGATACTGCCTAGGTTTTCTTCTAGAGTTTTCATGGTGTTGGGCCTCATGTTTAAATCTTTAATCCATCTAGAGTTAATTTTTGTATAAGGTGTAAGGAAGGGATCCAGTTTCTTCTTTCTGCACGTGGCTAGCCAGTTTTCCCGACACCACTTATTAAATAGGGAATCCTTTCCCCATTGCTTGTTTTTGTTGTCTGATTTGTCAAAGGTCAGATGGTTGTAGTTGTGTGGTTGGTATTCTTTCTGAGGCCTCTGTTCTGTTCCATTGGTCTATGTCTCTGTTTCGGTACCAGTACCATGCTGTTTTGAGTACAGTCGCCTTGTAATAGTTTGAAGTCAGGTAGTGTGATGCTCCAGCTTGTTTTATTTTCCCCCTTAGGATTGTCTTGGCTATGCGGGCTCTTTTTTGGTTTAAGGTGTCTTTTTTCCAATTCTGTGAAGAAAGTCATTGGTAGCTTGATGGGGATAGCATTGAATCTATAAATTACTTTGGGTAGTATGACCATTTTCACAATATTGATTCTTCCTAACCATGAGCATGGAATCTTTTTCCATCTGTTTGTGTCCTCTCTTATTTCCTTGAGCAGTGGTTTGTAGTTCTTGAAGAGGTCCTTTACGTTCTTTGTTAATTGTATTCCTAAGTATTTTATTCTCTTTGTAGCAATTGTGAATGGGAGTTCACTCATGATTTGGCTCTCTGTTTGTCTATTACTGGTGTATAGGAATGCTTGCGATTTTTGCACATTGATTTTGTATCCTGAGACTTTGCTGACATTGCTTATCAGCTTAAGGAGATTTTGGGTGGAGACAATGGGGTGTTCTAAATATACAATCATGTCATCTGCAAATAGAGACAATTTGATGTCCTCTCTTCCTATTTGAATATCCTTTATTTCTTTCTCTTGCCTGATGGCCCTAGTCAGAACTTCCGATACTTTGTTGAATAGGAGTGGTGAGAGAGGGCATCCTTGTCTTGTGCCAGTTTTCAAAGGAAATGCTCCCAGGTTTTGCCCGTTCAGTATGATGTTGGCTGTGGGTTTGTCCTAAATAGCTCTTATTATTTTGAGATACGACCCATCGATGCCTAGTTTATTGAGAATTCAGTGCTCTACACGTTCAGAGAAACTTCTCTGGTAACAAACTATAGAAATGATCCCTGAAGTATAGTCTTACTTGGTGCAAATTTGGATGGCAAGAGATGTTAACTTTTGAGCCTGTTTTTTTGTTTTTTTGGTTTTTTGAGACAGAGTTTCACTCTTGTTGCCCAGGCTGGAGTGCAATGGCACGATCTCGGCTCACTGCAACCTCCACCTCCCAGGTCAAGCGATTCTCCTGCCTCAGCCTCCTAAGGCAATTTTGTAAAGGAGGTGATTTTGTAAAACTATAAAAATTAGCCAGGCATGATGGTGCGTGCCTGTAGTTCCAGCTACTGAGGAGGCTGAGGAAAGAGAATGGCTTGAACCTGGAAGGCAGAGGTTGCAATAAGCAGAGATCATGCCACTGCACTCCAGTCTGAGCAACAGAGTAAGACGCCATCGCGAAAAATAAAAATGTAAAAGAACTACTGGTCTTAAGTGATCCTCCTGCCTCAGCTTCTCAAATCAGTGGAATTACAGGAGTGAGCCACCACACCTGACAAGCCTGTTCTTATGAGATTATTACTTATTACTACTACTTTGGATTTTCAAATCAACTTTATTAAGGTATAATTTACACACAACAAAATGCATTTATTAGGCTGGGGGCGGTGGCTCAAGCCTGTAATCCCAGCACTTTGGGAGGCCGAGGCAGGTGGATCACGAGGTCAAGAGATTGAGACCATCCTGGGCAACATGGTGAAACCCCGTCTCTACTAGAAATACAAAAAATTAGCTGGGCATGGTGGCGTGTGCCTGTAATCCCAGCTACTCAGGAGGCTGAGGCAGGAGAACTGCCTGAACCTAGGAGGCGGAGGTTGCGGTGAGCCGAGATCGCGCCATTGGGAGGCTTCAGGCCACTGGAAGTGAACACAACTAACCTCTCTGAGGACCCTCCAATCCAAGATGGACATATGTCCCCTTGGAAGTACATGGAAGCAGATGAAGACTCCCAAGTTCCCAGATTTCCCCATTAGCCACGATTCGGCGGCTGCTCACGGTCCTCCCCTCACCGTGCTGTCTTCCCCAGACAGCCCCCAAACATCTGGCTGCACTTGGCTTGCTGTCTCCCTGTCCTACCTCTGGATTTAGTCCATGTCCTCCGCCCTCCCCACTGTCAGCAGTGTAGACAAGACAAGTGCTGAGTTCGTGCCCACCTACTGCGTGCCATGCACGGTGCTGGCCATCATGGGTGGCAGATGTGAGCAGCAACACACGGAGCCTCGAGGAACAGAAAGGGACACAAATCACTTCAGCACAAAGTAATTTGTGATAAATGCCATGAAACTTGCACCCCTGGCTCCATCCGACAGACAGTGTCTGAGAATAAACCCACTAACATGTGAGTCCTCTGTACTCTAGCCCAGCTGTTTCGGTTGCAAGAAAGCGACTCGCTCCAGCTGCATCATAGGGTAGAGGTTTATTGGAAGGACATTCTGGACGGGCTCCCAGCAAGAGTCTGGCAATGGGGCATGAAAAGGAATGGGGCTGGAATGAGGGAGGGTGGGGCCTCTGCTACACAAAGTTCACCTGGCCTCCAACTGCCTTCCCATTGTCAGCAGTGTAGACAAGACAAGTGCTGAGTTCGTGCCTGTTAGGTCCTGTGCCAACTCCCCACTTCTCTCTGGTTTTCAGCCCAAATCCTAGAGCAGAGGGCTCCTGGCTCCTCCCACCATCTGCACCAGGCTGCAAGGGGAGTCATTAGCCCACTCGAGAGCTCTCTCCTGTCAGTCCCTGATTCCCAGGGGCATGTCGTTTCTTCTTGGTAACTCATCCTCTTTAACAGCGCCTGACATAGGGTCCTCCGGGAAAAGGACAGGAGCTCACAGAGTCATGGACAGGGACGTATCTGGAGCAGGAATAAGGATGCTGATGACATCTGTGTCTGTCCTCACTCTTGTAAGTGTCAGTAAGGCAATACCCATCCCTAGGGGTAGGGGTGGTGGTGGTGGGAATGAGGGCATCTCTTCTTCCAGGGGCCAAATCTGGCATAAGGATGTCTGCTGAGGCAACATGCTGCTGG